ATTTTTAGCCTTTTCAATGAAACCAAATGATCCAAAAAAAAAAAAAAAACGTCAAAAATGATTTAGGTTGGCACACACAGACATCAAGATTTAGCATATGAATCTCAGCAATGGTGACAAACAGATCACTTCTGAACATAAGCTCATTATTTATTCATGTAGCAATGCATGATTGGAGCTGAATGAATGAGTTTTTATTGGTGGCAACCAGAATGCACAACAACATGCTTTAATAATTGTCACCATTGTTGAGATTCACAGGCTGATTCTTGATGTCTTTGTGTCTAAAAACTGTATCAAATAAATGATTTTTTTATATATATATATATATATATGAGACGTGTATAAAATAAATTTCTGTGGATTACTTTTGTAAAAGTTTAAAACACTATGCTGTGCAAGAATAGTGCTGCTATAATTGAAAAACTAAACCTAATTTGGGCTCTTTATGAGTTCAGTAATTCAGGTCAAATGATTGTGAAATAATGATTATGTTAAAACACAACCAACACCATCAGATCACCTTTTCTATATGTTCATCTGGCTGTTATAACTCACGTACAGCAGCCAAACAAAATCTAAAGTTAATGATTAAAGGGTCAAGAGCCCAACAAAAGCAAACACTGATCACCACAATGGTGACTTAAAATGACGGTTTTCTCCTTCAGTGATTCTGCTTGTTATCATCAGGTGTCTTCAATGATGCTCAATCATCCCTCACTTATTCACTTAATTATCTCATTAACCTTAACACTGCTTCAGTGTTAACTTTAACACTTCTTCAGTGTTTATATGAGTCCACACTCAGAGTGTTAATTTAACACTGGGGATTTTGCTGTGCAGTGGACGTCTTTTCACGTCCGACTTTTGTGACAAAGACCTTAAAAAGACGTCTTTTGGACATAATTTTGCTTAGTGGGTAGTATGAGCCAGTCGTCGAGATAGTTGAGGATGCGAACGCCCTGTTCTCTCATGGGAACAAGGGCCCCCTCCGTGACTTTCATGAAGACACGAGGGGATAGGCACAGCCCGAAGGGTAGGACCTTGTACTGATAAGCTCGACCCTCGAACGCAAAGCACAGGAACGACCTGTGTCGAGGAAGAATCGAGACATGAAAGTGCGTGTCCTTCAGGTCGATCGCTGCAAACCAATCTTGGGGACGGATGCATTCGAAAATGCGTCTCTGCGTGAGCATTTTGAACGGTAGCTTGTGGAGGCTCAGATTCAAAACTTGCAGGTCCAAGATTGGTCGTAACCCACCACCTTTCTTGGGTACAATGAAGTAGGGACTGTAGTGCCCTGACCTCATATTGGCTGGAGGGATCGGCTCTATCTCGTCCTTCGCCAGTAGGACTGTGATCTCCGTACGCAAGACATGGGCATCGGCTACTCTCACTGTAGTGGAGTGGATGGCCCGAAACTTGGGGGGACGCCGGGTGAACTGAATCGCATAGCCGAGCCTGATGGTTCGAATGAGCCAGCGAGACGGACTGGGGAGTACTAACCAGGCTCTCAGAGACCGCACAAGCGGGACCAAAGGGACCGTAGGCGTACCCGGAGTGGGGCAGCGAGGTGGAACACAGGGACACGGCTCGGGAGGCTCTCTCTGGGAGGCGGCCCGTAGCGGTGTCTGGGTGTGCTGTGTAACACTTACCTGGTACCACAGGGAAGGAGGTGTAGGAGGCGGCTCGGTGGCGTTCTCGGACTGCACACTGCTGCCCGCTGACGACAGAAGAGCCGGATGAGAGTGGTGAAGATCCTCTCCTCCCACTACTCTCCGGGCCCTCTTCAGACCCAGAGATGAAGGAAACTGCTGGGTCTGGATGGAAACTGCTATTGTTGAGAATTTGGGTGAATTTGGGCGGAACAGAAACATTTTTCCCCCGGCCCTCTTCCGGGGAAGGGAGCGGTGAGGTCACCGTCTCCTGGGGAGCAGTTCCATCCATCTCCGGGTTGCCCGTCCTGGGGCCACTTAACTCTGGCTTTGCCGCCTTTCTTGGCGGGGGCCTAGACGCGATTTTTTTTTTTGCAGGGCGGTAGGGGAAGACTCATTAATATTCATTGGGGAACTCATCCCTGATTGGTCTTAACCCCAGTGACGGGTAGGTTTAGGGGCGGGGTTAGGGGTAGGTCATCAGACCCCCAGTGACGGGTAGGTTTAGGGGCGCGGTCAGGGGTAGGTCATCAGACCAATCAGGGATGAGTTCCCCAATGAATATTAATGAGTCTTCCCCTACCGCCCTGCAAAAAAAAAAATTGCGGCCTGGACAGGCGGGGCGGCCTGCCTGCGACTGGCTCCACGGCGCCGTTTAGGTGGAGGCTGCTGTGGCGCGGGAGCAGGGGCAGAAGCAGGAGGACGAGCAGACTGAAGAGCCGCGGGCGGTGCCTTGGCCTGATGGACCTGCAGCAATGCTATGGTGTGCATGGCAGAGGCAGCTTCCCCACAGGCCTTGTAAGCCTCATCGAATAGGTCAGACGAGAACCTACAGGCCCAGGAAGGAAGACACAGTTCACCGCGCCAAGTGGAGTTAGGGCACAGCTGCATAGCAGTGGCCTGCTCCACTGGAGGGACACGTGTGTATCCCTTAGCTGCCCCGCCATCAAGGGTGGTAAGGGAGGAGGAGCCACCGAGCCGATTTCTGGCTGTGAAAGGTGCCGTCCACGTCCCGCTGAGCTCCTCGTGCACTTCCGGGAAGAAAGGCACTGAGGTGGGTTGCTGAGAACCAGCACGCACCACCCCGAGATACCAATCATCCAGCCTCGAGGGCTCGGGACACGGTGGATGGTTCCACTCAAGCCCGATCCTGTTGGCGGCCCGGTAAAGCATGGCCATCATCTCTGGGTCCGACTCGGACACCGCTGACACACCCGGAAGAGGTAGCGCCTCAGAGCTGTCATCCGTGGAGATGTCTGACCCACCCTCCGATGTAGCGATCGACATCTGGTCGTCGCGGGAAGCATCAAAGGGAACGACTGGTACACATCTCGAGGATGGTCCAGCACGTTCAGTTGGTAACTCAAATGGCTGCGAAGCGTGAGAGGGATGAGGGTTCCTAGGAGGTTGGTTCCCCCGAAAGAAGCACATTCACCGTGATCCTCAGGTCTCCCGTGTTACTGCCCGAAAGCAGATGCACGGGGACTCCGCCCCTTTGCAGGAATGAGAGTCTCGACCGCAGCTCCGAGATGGTCATCTTCCCACAATGGGTACATGACTCATTCATGAACGCTGCCTCAGCGTGTTCGAGGCCCAGACACACGAGGCAGCGATTGTGACCATCCCGTGACCCCAGGTAACGACCACATCCAGAAACACAGATAGAACGTCAACTTGAAAAAGACGTGAACTGTCTGTGTAAGCTCTTTTAGAGACTGCTCTACTTGGTGCTGAGGCACGCGGGGGAACGGTCACCGCGAACACAGACAGGAATGTGCACCTGTCTGTGCGTTGTTCTCTCTCGCTGGTCTTACCAGCCGTGATAACGGCTGTTGAGCGCTCTCACCGCGCACCTTACCAGCTGTGAAAACAGCCTTTTTTGTTTTTGCTCAGTTTTTAAAACAAAAAAAAACAAAAAAGAGAAGAGAGAAGAGAAGACCGCTCGCGCTGCTGTGCTGCCATGCCCGCACCAAAGTGGAGAGATCCAGAAGAGACTTGCAGATTCACTCTGTGTAGTCAGCATTCGAAGTGCTTGGCTCTGAAGCAAAAAGCTGAAAATTGCAAATTGCAGCAGCTGCTCGTTATATACCCGCGCTAGGGGTGTCGCAATATACCGGTGTTGACGATAATCGTGATATTCAAAGCATGAAATATCGACATCGTGTTAATTTAGAGTGTGGCAATATACCGGTTTTGGCGATAACCACAATGTTTAAAATTAATAGGACTGTTATGATAACATGTCACGTAAATACTTCAGCGCGAGTACATGGTTGAGCTCTCAGGTGGCTGTATTGCACCCGCTGACACCTATCAAACAAGAAGACGCAGCCCGGGCCGCGCAGCTACTCTGAGAAGAATTTCGTCTGAGCGAGAGAGTGAAACAATCTGTCCACACCCGGAAAAAAGTAAGTTCGCCTGTATGGGAGTTCTTCGGCTCAAAAGAAAACAGCACTTTAAAGGGGGTCGCACACCGGACGAGAAGCACAGCGCCACGTTTTTAAAATTCGAACACATTTTCTCTTCGAGTGTACACACACTGGTTGTGCCATTCGGCGTGTGTCTGCGGCGCCCAGCAACGGCTCTTGTTCAAAATCCTGCCGCAACACAGAGCGCCATTTACATAGTTTTATATTAAATTTACATTATATTTGTCTCAAATCATCGTAAATGACTTCACCCTGTGCTGCAATGTACATTTAGTTTTACATTAATTTACAGAAATCAGCTGCTTGAATGAAAATTGCTGATGTTATCGGATTTTCAGGTGATATTCTCAATTCGTTCAGTTAATGGATGCTCTGAGGTAAAGTTTTCAGATCACAGACTAAGCAACTATTGTATTTAATTGTACAGTACAATCATAACTTAGTACAGATCTTATCTTAATTTCATAATCTCCTTAAACATAAGAATACTGCTGGCCATAAACTGAGTAAGTGCGCGTCCGGTGTGCGATACCTCGAGACGCGACGCAGCGCTGCAGAATGTGTAGCCACCAACCTTTTTACCCATCTCCGTGTCCATCACCCTGCGGATTACGCAATTTTACAGAGAACAAATTGCGATTATTTTACTAGTCATGGAATGGGACACGTGACATTAAGTTTCTGTGTTCATACATTTAATAAAGGGTGATTATTAAGAACCATCTTATTTTTGTATTTGTATTTGCACTTGATTTTTATTTTTTTTGTACCCTTATGTTTGTTGAGTAAAAAAGAAAAACTATATAAACAAAGTAAAAATTAATTTGACTGATAACTATGAAAAGCCGATATATAACATGAAAAAGTGTGACATTTTAATTACAAGAATTACGTACAGAATCAAGTGTGGTTGCTTTCATATCATTTATTCATGTAATTAGAAAACAATCTTTTGCCTATTCAATTTGCCCTTACACAACTTACAGAGTTACAAGTGAAAAAGTGAAAATTGTTAAACTAGATCAAAAGATAAAGTAGAAGAATGATTGCCTAAAATGATTGCGATAAACTAAACCATTGGATGTTATAATTATAATGGAAGTGATTTTTGATTTGAGGAGACACAATGAATGAAGATTTAAAGTTTGGCCCTGTCCAGTTTTGCATCAACACCACAGTTCAGGTAACTTATTTTTCCAGTTGTTTCCAACGTGTACACGGTGTCACACCAGAGTTCCTTATCCTCTTTTCTTGTCTTGACATCAATTACTTTAAACTTCTCATATGGGGGAATAAGCACATCTTTCTGGTCAGGATATTTGGAGTATTTGATCACATCAGCACCTTCACAAGTGTAGATTTCAAAACAAGATTTATCTCCAAAACCATTTGCTACCTTACGATCAAGAGAGGAGGATGTAAATGAGCCGAAACGAAACTCTGTGTTCAGAACATCCTGAGCAAATTCAACTGTAGTGCCGTGATAAGTTATAAAGCAGGAATCTTCTGTTTTCTTTATAATCTGTATTGCTTCTGTTAACAAAAAGTGAAGTGAAAACCATTTGAATGTCTTGTCTTTGTATTTTTGTTTCTCACTACGGACAGCATTATTAAAATCACAATATACATTCAAATTGTTGTTAGTGTACACATAAATGGCAACTGAATGAATCTGTTCCAAATTATCCTCTGGATTCTTGGCATTTTTTTCACCGTCGTGCCAAGTATTACAAAATTCTTTGTTATCAAGTTCCCTCTTTAGAAGTTCTGTCTTCACCAGATTTGCCATTTTCCCTCTACAGCCCTTATATTGATCATCAACAGAATCCAGTGCCATATCTAATGGAAATATCTGTTCTTCAACAGCATCTCTGTGATCCTGCAGCAACAGAAACCATAATGATCACATCATCAGTATTAATGTCTGTAATATTCATACTAGAACACAAGCTTACCTGTCCTAGAGGACCGAAAAATAGAAGAAGAGCTTTAATGATCAGCTGCATCTTGATTCAGTCAAATCCCTCAGATGAGTATCTAGTGAAGAACAGATGATGAAAGACATTGACAAAAGCAACAGCATCTCACAAATATTAAACCTGTCACTGCAATAGAACCTCGCCACAATCTGTTATTTTCAGCCAAACAGCAAAATCATGTCAAAATTTAACCTGTGATGTTCACAGATGACAGTGTTATACAAATATTTGCTCATAGCCAGACGACAACAGCGATCTTCAAAGTGAGACATGGGAAAGTTGGCTTTTTATATTGGATGTAGGCTATGTATGTATGTGTGTGCATTCTGTGACACAGACATTCTGTGTGTGTGTGAGATAAGAAATGAGCCATATCCACATGAGGCAGTACAATTTCTCATTACTGGAATTAATGATATTCCTTCAGACAGAAGTGTAACAAGAAGATTAAAGGCAATGAAAATGCAAATGAAAAGATTCTGGTTTAAAAGCTGTATGATATAAGGGTGTTCGTTTAGGTTAATTTGTTTCTTATCTGTTATCTGACACTTGATAGGGAAAAGACCTGAACAGTGCAGTGCAATAAACCATAACAGACATTCTGCCTGGCCAACATTACAAAATTGAGGCTTGAGGAGTGAAGTGTTACCTCTCAAAAGAATCCAAGATCATGTCTGTAGTCAAAGGAGTTCAAGAACTAGGGTATAAAGCAATTTTAATATAGCTGTTCGTAATGATAATCATGGTCATTGGTAATCAGTGAGTAATGGTATTCACTTCACTTTTTGTTAACAGATGCAATACAGTTGACTGAAACAAAATAAATGCAAGTCAACTTATCGTGGTATGAGAAGTTTAAAATCATTGCTGTTAAGACAAAAAGTGATCAGAAAGATCTCTGGTATGAGACTGTGTACAAGTTGGAAAGCTCTGGAACAAGAAGTGACCTGAACTGTTCGGTGATATTCAAGAACCCATCCAGGTTAACCAAATATACATTTAACATTGAACACATTGTCACGATCCCGGTTTCTCTAGTCTTTTGTGTTGTATGGACTTTTATTTTGAAGTATATTATCTGTTCTCATTGTTTCCATGTTCTCTTTCTGTTTGGTTTCTGTCTCTCCTGTACCATATAATCTATTTATACCAAGACAGCATATGTCAAGTGTCACACCCAGCAACTTAAGACAGTTTGTTACTTGTTCCACTGGAGTCCCCTCAATAAATAAAGTCAGCAATCTTAGTGATATTATTTTTGTTGCTAAAAATTATATATTTCGTTTTTTCTGTGTTTAAAATTAATGTATTAGTTTTAACCCAGTTTGTAATTGTTTGCAGCACCTCAGTTAAGTTCTTCTGAAGCTCAACTGATGGATGTTCTACAGAAAGTACATAACTAAATTAGCCCAGCCAGCACAGCCATGTGGGGCCCACATGGGTTAGACCTGGGCTATCTAACTGGGACCCAGACAGTTTTGCTCCCGGTTTCCATGTAGGCCCCACATGGGTTTGCCCAGATGAAATGAATACTGCTCAGTGTGCACACTATAGGCTGTTAAATGTAACACTGACCAGTGTTGGAGTTAATTAGATAATTAAGTGATTGAATAATGATTGAGCATTATTGAAGACACCTGATGTTAACAAGCAGAATCACTGAAGGAGAAAATCACAAATTGTAAGCCACCGGTATGGCGATCAGCGTTTGCTTTAGTTGGACTCTTGACCCTTAGACTGTCACTTTAAATTTTGTTTGTCTGCTGTTATTGATTTATAACAGTCAAATGAACAAAGAAAAGTGTGATCTTATAGTGTTGGTTATGTTTAGGCATAATCATGCTGTGATCTGATAAATGAAACTTATTGAGATGGTTCAACTTCTGGTTCAACTTGTTAGCAACAGCTTTGTGATTCCACAGCATATGATTATCAGTATTTTTTTTAATCCAAAATATTTAATAAACATTGTTCTGATCAAAACACTTTCAAATGAATTTATTTAGAAACACAGACATCAATAATCAGTCTGTGAATCTCAACAATGGTGACAATAATAATGCATGTTGCAGTGGCTGCCACCAATCACAACTCATTACTGGCTCCCATCATGCATTGCGGTATGAATAAATTATGATCTGAATTGTCTATGTAATTTACTTTTCCTAATTGAATATTCTGCTCGTCACCATTATTGAGATGCATTGACTGAATCTTGACGTCTGGGTGTGCCTAAAAGAAAGTTTTTTTTTTGAAAACAACTTTTAAGAAATCCTTTATATTATATCTAAAATTCTGGATATTTATGCAGAATCACAGTTATGCTGTAACCAACAGCATAAATCACTAAACATAAGGTTCAAATGATGACATAAATTTCATAATATAACCAACACCATTACATAACTTTTTTTTTTTTTTTTTTTTTTTTGTTCTTCTGGCAGTTATAAGTCAGAAACAACAGCCAAACAAAATCTAAAGTTAATAACATAAGGGTCAAGAGCCCAACTAAAGCAAACAATGATCGCCATAACGGTGGCTTACAATTTTCTCCTTCAGTGATTCTGCTTTAGGTGTCTTCAATAATCTTCAATCATATTCAATCACTTAATTATCTCATTAACTCCAACACTGATCAGTGTTACATTTAACAGCCTGTAGTGTGCACACTGAGCAGTGTTCATTTCATCTGGGCAAACCCATGTGGGGCCTACATGGAAACCGGGAGCAAAACTGGCTGGGTCCCAGTTAGATAGCCCACGTCAAACCCATGTGGGCCCCACATGGCTGTGCTGGCTGGGTAGCATTATCAACAACATATGGTAAATCATTTATAAAAATAGAAAATAAAAGTGGACCTAAACAACGTCCCTGTGGAACAGTGAGTATTTGGGGTCTCAGAAACAGGATCTATTATAAAATACTCTCTGTTTAGAAAATAAGGTTTCACAGTGTAAAACGAAGAATTATTATTATTACCATGAGTTAAAATGAGGTTGTTGTTTTTTTTTCGCTGAACAAATGCTTTATTATATCAAACTAGAAACCATTTGTTTGTTTTGTTTATTCAAATTTCAATAATCAAAAAATGTCTAATCAATTATATTTAATAATTGATTGATTAAATTAATGACTTGTTTTTATAATACGTAATTTATTAAAAATTGTAAGAATGATCCTATGAAATGTATTTTATTCTGCAAACAATAAACCCCATAATGGTGACTCAAATTAATTCAAATGAAACTCAACAAATCAACATCTAAACCTCTGTTAATAACTTATCAATAATAACTTTTATAGATGTATGACAGAAGTAAAGTCAATCTGGATAGTAATAAGTTATGCTTTATAATCAATAATTTATTACACATTTAAAGAATAATCCTATGAAATGTTTTTTATTCAGAAAATATGGTTTGTCTATTTTCATTTTTCTTTTTATGATTTAATACAAATATATTATGAAAAACGGTGGTAAGAATGCTTGCAACTAACAATATGATTAATGTTTTAAAAAGTATTCAAATTAAGTCTAAAAACAACAGCTATTTGCTATAACACAAGATATTTAGCCTACTAAATTAAAACAGAAAATATATATATATATTCCGTATGTTTTTTTAAAATAAATTGTATTATTATTATCATTATTTTGAGAAGTGCAGTCTTCCATTGGACAATAGTAATATATTTCTGTCAATTTCTTCATAAAATCAAACTTTTAATTTGATGGCTTGTATAGTGAAGGCCCTTTGAGTTTCAGAGTGTATTTGGCAATGTTTTTTTCTCTCAAAAAAATGATGAAATGCTTATTAATTAATTATTCTCTCAGAGCAGCTTTGAATATGTTCATGTGTTCATGTCGTGTTCATATTGTGAGACGGCAGACGCTGAAAACACCATAAGTGTCACGCAGACTTCAGTATGCTAGTAGATGAAACGGCTCACAAACGTGAATTTTAACACAATAAACAACATGTCTACTTCGCGTCATTTTCCTGTTGTTTACGTGTTGTTTGGTTGTTAATGTTCGGCGCGTAATTGACACATAATCAACGTGCAAACAATGTGTGATCTCAGACGGCAATAGGCTTTATGCACAGCTTCACTACTTCCTGAACTTCAGCCAGCTCCTTTGTTTCCTGTCTGCCATTATTGGACAAACTGATTAATCCAGGTGTGCCTGATTATTGTTACTGAGGCCAGGCACACCTGGATTAATCAGTTTGTCCAATAATGGCAGACAGGAAACAAAGGAGCTGGCTGAAGTTCAGGAAGTATCAGCTGTGCATAAAGCCAATTTGCATACTTTTGATCCATCTGGCCATTTGTCTATTGAACGGGTGAGTGTGGTGAGTTCCCATTGGCTGAGCAAACCTTTTGGGAGCTGCTACGCTTGATTTCACGCAGTCGCCATTTTGAAATCGAAAGCGAGGCTCCGGTGGGAAGAAACCCGGAAGTACATGTAACATGACCCACAGGGGTAAATAATCAGGCGCAAGGCGGTTGTGCAGTTTCCATCAATAGGCACATTTTTATTCAAATAATTCAGCAGTTAAAGAAAATAAGTCCTTAAAAGCAAATACCCACAAAATAATAAATGAAAACTAAAAAAAAAAAAAAAAAAAAAAAAAAAACCACAAATGGCCACAGGTTACCTATATCGTGAAGGCAGTAGTCTTGAAAGTGCTCTCACCACAGCAAAACTCACAGCAATCACACTGCAACCCTAAAGGTAAAAAAATACAAATAAAGTGACCAACACCACGCGATCCCAGCCACCTCACCACCGCCATCCATTCAGTGAGGGTAACCAAGCAGCCATCATTGGGTTAAAAAGAAATCTACAAAAGGAAAGAAAAACAAATTAACTGTGGGTAATGCCAGTAGGACAAGCAAGTCAGCACCATTAGACCATCACTCTTATTTTACGGTCAAGGGTTTCCCCACTTGATCCAGCATCAGACAAAATAATAAATAAACCAAAGAAAATTCAATCTAAAGTAAACGGTAACCGTGCATCCCTGTAA